GGATGTATATTGAATTTTTTATTATGGTTTTAATATTCATCTCATTAAAGAATGATGATGTTTAACACATATTCATGTGTTTATAGCCATTTGATATCCTTTCTGTGAAGTGCCTATTTAAATTTTTTCCCATTAAAAAATCGAGTTGTCGATGTTTCTTATTGATGTTCCTATAGGAGCATGATAGAATTAACTCTTTTCTTTGAAAATGTGGTTGCAAATATATTCTCACACTTTACAGCTTGCCTTTTTATACTCTTAATGGTGATTTTGGTGAATAGAGCTCTTAATTTTAATAAAGTCTGATTTATCAATCTTTTCCTTTACAGTTATTGCCTTTCTGTCTCCTATTAAAAGAAATCTTTGCCTACCTCAAAGTCATCGTATTAGTTTCATATTGATGCTGAACAAATTACTATAAATTTAGCAGCTTAAATACCATTAGTTCATAGTCTCTGTGGGTCAGAAGTCTGAGCCTGGCTTCACCTGGTCCTCTGATTTGGGACTCGTAAGGTTGAAATTGAGGTATTGGCTGGGCTTTCTTATAATTTGGAGACTTGACTGGGAAGAATCACTTCTAAGATTATTCAGGGTATTGGCAGAATTGATTTCCTTGTGTTTGTGTGACTGAGGACCCAAGAATTTTGCTGGCGCTTCGCTAGTGGCTACCGTGAGGTCATAGAGGCCACTTGTTCCTGGTGGCTGCCTGCAGTTGGTCATGTGGGTTCCTTTAACATAGCTTCTACTTCATCAGACCTGCAAGGACAGTCCCTCTTTCTGGAAGGCCTGAGTCCCTCTTAAAGGCTTTCATCTGATGAAGTCAGATACACATAGGAGATAATCTCTCTTTTGATAATACAGTTGACCCTTGAACACACAGGGATTAGGGCACCCACACCCATGCAGCTGAAAATTATGTGTAACTTTGACTCCTCCAAAACATAACTACAGTCGCTCCTCTGCAGGGGGTTGATTTTAGGACCCTCCCCCCACTGCCCCGCCCCACCATGGGTAGCAAAATTCGCGGATGCTCAAGTCCCATATATAAAATGGCACAGAACAATCCGTACAGCCTTCCGCATTGTGGATTCCTAGCCTCAGATAGAAAATTCTGTTTCAGTCTGCAGTTGGTTGAATTCTCAGATGTGAAACCCCAGGATTTTGGGGGTGGGGAGGCATTGTATTTACTGAAAACAACCTACCTATGAGTGGACTCGTGCAGTTCCAACCCGTGTTGTTCAAGGGTCTACTGTAACCCTAAATCAACTTGAGATTCTAATTACATTTAAAGTCCTTTAGCTTGTTGGTTAGAAGCAAATTACAGGTCCCATCCTATTCAAAGGGGGTGTGAGCACCAGGGGCAGAGATTATGAGGGCCACCTGAAGGTCCATCCCACAGTCTGGAGGGCGTTTTTAGTGTTATCTTCTAGAAGTTTTACTGTTTTACATTTCACTTTTAGTCTCATAATTTACTTGGAATTGATTTTTATGTAGGGTAGAGGTTAAGATTCATTTTTATTTTATGTGAATAAACAACTGACCCAGTACAATTTATTTGTCATATATCAAATGAGTATATTTAATGTTTGCTTATTTTTCTAGATTTTGGTGTCTGTTCATTGACCTATTTGTCTCTATTGTGTCCAAATCACACTTTTTATTACTTAAGTTTATAACATGTCTTGGTTTCTGGGTAAATCCTCCAAATTTGTTCTTTGTTCTTTAAGTTTGTCTTAGCTATTTTTTTTTTTTTTTTGTATTCCCATATAAATTATAGAATCAGCTTGTTGGTTTTGACAAAAATCTCTAGTGGCACTTTCAGTGGTAGTCCATTAAATTTATAGATCAGTCTGGAGAGAACTGATAACTTTGAAAACTGAGCCTTTCCATTCTTGGAAGCTCCCTCCCTGCACCTGTCTTTTAAAATTTGTCTAGGACTGTTCATAGGTCTGTGTAGAAGCATTGCTTATCTTGCACTAGGTTTATTCTTCTAGATAACCTGTAGTCCTCCATGTAGTTGGAACTTAAAAAAAAAAATTAATCTCTAACTTGAAGATTAATCATCGAGAGACAGGATTGTGAAAGGACATAACATCCCTACATTCCTCAGAGACTTAAAAATATATTTTCATTCATAAAAATTGTGAATGTTCTGAAAATTAGAGACTCCATTATTCAAATGTACGGACAAACTCAATTCCAAAACCAAGTCTAATAGCAATTACACTGATAACAAGAGAACTGGCTTGTTTCGAAGTCTATTTTAGGGGTCCGTAAACTGTTTTGTAAAGGGCTGAATAGTAAATATTTTAGGCTTTGTTGGCTATAAAGGAAATTTTATTATAAGTGCTTTAACTCAGCCTTCATGGCATGAAAGGAATCATAGATGATATTTAAGTATATGGGATACATCAGTGTTCCAATAAAATTTTACTGACAAAACAGGTGCTGACTGGATTTGACCCAGGAGCTAAAGTTTGCTGGCCTCTTGTTCTAGAGCATTGTTTAGAAATTATTTCAATCTCTATGTAGTCCATTTAATTATGGGTATGGAATGGTTAAATGGTAGGCCTCTGAGTCATTGCAACAAGGAAGGATGTTTTATGTTATTTAGAAAGTATAAAAACATCTAGGCCCCTGTCAAAAGGGGCAATTTGGTTCCTGACCTCTCGGTGTTTGTAGACTAAAGGAGGCAGAAACCCCAGCAAGAACAAAGCATTTCTTGACCACATATTACACTAAGGATTTTTACTGATTTTTTAATGAGGGAAAAGAAGATAAGATCTCAATGTATATGCATATTCATTTATAAATATGTATGTAAGTATATATTTGTGTTTGCATTAATATACAATAGAAATTCTACATATTAAATACTTTCATTCGCATAAATACTTCAAGAGTTCATTCTTCTTTTTGAATATAATTCTATAATGCACTTATTATATTTAATTTGACTTATCTGTGAAAATAGACCCTGGTAATCAGAATAAATAATCTGAATTATGGCAATTTTGCCAGACACTTTTGGTGTACAGTGTTTTAGGATTATTACATCCAGAGGATACAAAGTCCTGAACTCAAAAGCTATTGGTTTGAAGCTTTTAAACATAAGGAGGACAACTTTATCAATCATTTAAAATATTACATGTTTTAATTACAGATCATAAAAGAGGATTAATAGGGATGGAGAAAGTACTCCCTAAGGCAAGGTACAGCTGTGGTAAATAGAATGTGAATTCATATATCTGGAGTACAGGTTAGGCTATTATTTCCCCTGTATATCTAAAACATTCTGCTGCCATTTTAGTCTAAGGAAACTCATGGTACAGTCTACCTGTGGTCTAGGATTATTTGGTTAGCTATGGAATCAGGTGTACAGTTTGTAATTTCTATTTTTGGAACTAATTATTTTAAATTTAGCAGCTTCCTTGATTTATTGATAAACATTTTGCACACCATGAGCTGTTAATAGCTATCATCAAAGGAAGGATTTGTGATCATATTAGTGTGGCGTACATTGGATGCTGGCTCCCCGTGTTAGTGATTTATCACATGGAGGAATGTACTGTGAAGGGCTTCAGGAAGTCTGGAAGTTAAGAAATATGTTCATGTTTAGCCTAGATTTCTTCTACACTTTTTGGATGCTTAAGCTGGTTTGTTTCCCTTATAGAACATTTATATTCTGAAGTGTTAGTGTTTGAAGAGAAAATATTTGAGAAACAACTATTTTAATCCATAATTTATTTTCCCATTCTTTTTTTTGGGGGACGGGGGGAGCCACTTCTTGTTTCGGACATTTTTAATAAAAATAGCTGTATTTATTTCTGTCATTTTGTATAGACTCCCAGAGCTGGCTAACTTGAAGGTAACTTAGGAAAAGAAATTTATTCTTCTCAGCATGTTGATTCTTGCTGAGTTGAAGACATTTAGAGGCAAGTTAAATTTTATATTTTCATCAGCAGTTCGAAAAAGTGTGTTGACAGAGAAATTTATCAATCCAGTAAATAAATTGATTGAGCGGCTTAGTTAAGTATTGTTTAGTACTTTTCATTTTTATTTTTTAAAATTTATATAAATAATCTATGAAAATATGCTCATTATTAAAAATAAAACAATTCAGAAATTTTTAGAATAACAAAAATTTACCACTCACTAAACATAATCTTTGTTAACAGTTTGAATTCTTTGGGGGCCTTTTAAAAAATGCATTTTAAAGTATTTACTTTTTGTCTTTTGAGTTTTATTACATATATAGAAAGACCTCTCTTATCCCAGGATTTTAAATAAAATAGTCATATGCTTTATCCTTAAACAGGGTGACCTGAAGTTCTGAAAGCCTAAGTAAATATCCATAATAAATGGCTGTTGATATTGTGTTACAATAAATATGTTCAGTGACATTCATGATAGGTTCAATGTGTTGTCCCTTTTTAGTGCCTCATAGTTCAATACACTACAAAGTAGAAACAAATGTGGTGCATTAACATAAAATTTCCATAAGTCCCTGCATATGTATCTGTGATGTATTGATTTATATCTCTGATTTTCACTGGATAAATCTGTGCTTTTATGTTATATTATTAATATATTATAGA